CTCTCTCTCTCTCTCTCTCTCTCTCTCTCTCTCTCTCTCTCTTTCTGTTTTGTCGCACTTTCCTCGCTTGCTGCAGGTGTTCCACCCCACCGCAAAAATGCTCGTGGAGCTCAGCAAGTCGCAGGACATCGAGGCCGGCGACGGCACGACGTCGGTGTGCGTCATCGCGGGGGCCCTGCTGAACGCCTGCACCGACCTGCTGGCGAAGGGCATCCACCCCATGGCCGTCGCCGAGTCCTTTCTGGCCGCTGCCGACAAGGCGGAGGAGATCTTGGAGGGGATGTCCACGCCGGTTGACCTGGCGAACAGGTGCGTGCGTGCGTGCACGGGATTTGCCAAATCGATCGAGTTTTGTGTGCGGCGCGTGTTGTGCGCTGCCGAAGAACGGAGCGGTCGGACGAGATATGAGACACTGCAATCCTACCGTGGAACATGTGGCAATAAATAGGTATGGTACGAAGAAGTGAACGTGTCAATGTAGTCACTACTTGGTATTATGACCATGACATCGAAGAGGTGCATTAGAACTCAGAGTACTCCAATTACCCAAAGCACACATTTCTTTCGCTTTTGTTTGCAGCATTTCAGCAGTGGGTGCCGCCACGACCCTGGCCCGTTTTTTTCTGCTGTTAGAAAACGTTCTCGTCTTTTACCCTTGGAGATTACCTCCAAACGACAAAGAACACGAAATTACCTACCATGCACGTCTTCAAGGCCCCGCGGGGGCGCCCCACGCATTGCACTGCAGTGTCCGTGGTTTGTGGCGCTTCCGAGTAGGGTCGGTCCAGTCGTAGCGATACGGCCGGGCCTACGTTTCTCTTTTTCGTGTTTCCGATTCGGGTCGTGCTGCCGGCGAGAGCTTGCGCGGGTCCCGAGGTTGACATGGAAAGGGCGACTTATAAAAGTGTGCGAGATTATCCGTAAAAAGCGCGGCGCTGTGTGTACAGTCCTGCTCCCCACCCCCTGAGCAAGTCCTGAAGACTCAGCCGCGACATTCGTGGAGCAGTGTTGACGTGTAGTTCGTGCTGGCGACCGTCGTTCCGAGCTGGAACGGAACCACTGAAGAGAAGGCGTTTTGGAGAAGGCCGTCCCGACAACCGAGACGAGGGGCGGACTTTAGCCGATGACAGCGTTCAGACGAGTGACGAGTGACGAGTGACGGGGTAGTGATGGCCGTGAGAGACAAGAGCCCTTTCCAGTCACTTTCCGTGGAACTCTTGTAGCATGATCGTTTTCGTGGGCCATCATATCGAGTCTGCAAAAGTAGGCCTAGCGTGTTCTACCCGCCGAGAGCTCCGCAAGCGTTGTATTCTCCTTCCGGTGGGTGGCTTTTGGCTACCACAGCCAGATGATGTCGTTGCACGAGCTCCTTGGCCCATGGGAAGGATTTCTCTGGAAGCGTAGACGGCAGGACCGTGCTCCATGGCCGAGATGATGAGGTTGCGCGGTCAAAGGTTCAACAAACGCACTACATGGCACACGCCCCTTTTTCCTTGCTGTGTTTGCCCTAGCCGAAATTTCGTTGACTGCGCTCAATGTTGGCGGCGTCGCCCCGCCGCCCTGTCGCGGCAGTCGCCTTACTGTACCGATACTGAATTGCATCCGCGTTGCCCCCCCCC